GAGGAATGGAGTTTGAGATTCTACACGTTTGAATAAAATTGTTGTTTTATATTTTTAACTATAAATTTTTATTATTTTATTTGTCCCAAACCGAGAACATAGCTCGCAACATCGTTACTCCTTTAATTAATCCATAAATTCCTTAAACTTAAATGGTAATGCAACTATTAAGTATGGGAAATAATTCAAAGTCAATTTGTATCAATATTAATTTAAAAATGGTATCACTAGTGTCATCTATCCACGAGTAACTAAACTATGCCGCTATTCAAGACTGCTGGAGATTCAGCCTACTGCACTTTCTGCGATCCTAATATTCAAAAGATTTTTGTGACCAATTTCAATGGATTTCTCGACAAAATTTGACGAGAAATTTGCTGAAATGTTGCTGTTCATCAGTCTGTAGTATTAGGAACGCAGAAAGTGGACATAGACAGTTCCCGCCAAATTAATATATATATTATTTCAATTTGTTTCAAAATTCCAACTTTTAATTTTCATCATAAAAAAGAAAAATCTTTTGCCTTTTTTTTAACAAAATCTTTTCTTTAAAATTTTTTTTGTCCATTTTGATGATTTTTCAATAATGATGCCACCTTGTAGAGAATTTTTCAAGGATCAAGATTATGTAGTTCTTAATTTTCTAGCCCTCTTAGTTGTCGAGATCCTTCAGAATTTGAAAACTGAATTTGAACCGCCCCTTTTATTTACCTACCTCCTCACCCTTTCTGCGATCCGAATACCAAAACCTGAGTTTCGACTGTTTCGAGTCCAAATTTTGTGTGATTTTGTCTCCAAAATCGACAAAAATAAAGATTGAATATTAGGATCGCAGAAAGTTGAGGAGGCTGATAAAGTTTTCGCGGCAACTAGTAATGTGCTGCCTCTGGTGGCGACGGACCGAAGCTCAAAACTTTTGGTTGTTGTAGTTTCTTATTGATAGATGGCACTAGCATGCACTTTTCAAAATAAATGTAAAATAAATCAAGAAAATTTATTGGGATCGTAGGATATATAGAAATAACAAATAATTGCATTAAAAAAAATATTCTTTATTAAAAAAAAAACACATAATACATATTCATTGCTGAAAGTTAATACAAGTAGATATAAAAATGGGGGTTTTCAGACAAAAACACCCTTAAAATGTCGGTGGCCTTATCAACAGCTTCTGTAATAAATGGAATATTTAAATTGTTATCGGATTCTGCAAGTAGATCTGCATCGGATTAGAGCAAATAGGAAATTAGGAAAATAATTACCTCAGCAGTCGAATTTCTTTACTGGATAATATTCTTCAAAACATCCAACAAGTTTAAATCGTATTTGGCCATAACGAATAAACTGTGTATGATATCCATTCCTTGGTTCTTGATTTCAACATCTTTTTGAACCCAGTCCAATTGTTGATAATCTCTGCCTTCTAGCTTTCCTTGTAAATGTTTGATTGCAATGTCAATCAGATGTTCTTCCAATAAAAATGGAAACAGTTCAACCAACCTCCTTGCTTCTAAGTACCTCTCAGTTAATAACCACTTCAAAAACTCCCTCTCACATATTAATAGCTCCTCGTATTTGGAAAGTTTAGCAACTAAGTTATTAACAGCAGTTTTAGCTAGGTTTTCATGGCTGGGCAAATTACAAACTGACATTGCCAATTTCACTGCTGATTCCCTCTGCTTATCATTACATGAATCCAAAATTGGTGAATTGATATCATTATTTAAATTCAATTCAAATACATTTGTATTTGTATCACTTATAATCACATTATAGTCAAAATCTGGTGGTAAAGATTGTTGGGTCTGAATATTTATGTATTCTGTAAGCAACACATCAAAGATAAGAATAAAATTACTCAATATAAAATGGTACCTTTTATTTTATTGACTTCAGTTTGTTTCTGGGCTTGTTGTCTGTAGAAACTATTAATTTCCTGATTAATGTCTGCTTTTGGTAAATGTAGATCTTCATCTTCTTGATTAGTTGTAGCAATTGGAAGGTGATTCAAATACACAGACACATTGTCCACACTAATGCATTGTTTTCTGTTGTGTAGATGGCTTAAATTGCGAATATAATTCTAAAACATTTATCTTATTAATACAAACTGCTAAAATTATTTGAATTTGCGTGGTTACAATAAATGTGTTGAGTTTCTGTTTGTCCTGAAGATTCCTCGTAATCAAATCAGCAATTTGTACAGCTAGGATGTTAGCATTTGCACGAGTAGATAAATTAGGTGTTTGGGCACAGTTTGTGTGCGCTTTTACAAGTTCTAACAGTTCTTCACTCATTGTTTCTTATATTTTCATCAGAGTTGATCACAACTTGCACCAACTTGTTGATCATTGCTTCTTTACGTTTCTATGGATTACTCCCATCTGATTCAGAAACGAAGCTCCATCGCACGGTTTTATTCAAAACTAATTCGCAGTGCAGGAATATTTAAAAATTAGATTGCATTAGGTAGTTATAAGTTAATAATTAATCTTTCACTTAATACTAATATGACATGGATATAGACATGGATAAATAATTGAGAAACAATCTCATGTAAAATTAAGGAGAAATAAAGTTTTTAACAAACTCCTCTGAAGAAACAAACGCCGGATTGTCAATACCGTCGCCTGGATTGTTAATGGACTGCGGCCGATACACAGATTTACGCGGATCCATCCCTTTTGGTATTAACTGCGTCCTGCGTGCTACCATAGCCTCAACACCAATTCCACCTTTTCCTCTCTTGCGCACGTTGGCGCCGCTTTCATTCTTCGTTGGGTTCGCCAATCGCTCATACCTGGCATTGAATGATTCCAATAGCGTGGTTTTGGCATTACGATTCCTCTTTTGAATCCGCTCGTTTTCCATCACGGTTTTGCGCCGTCCTCGGGTTGTTCTTCGCAAATCTTCTGGCTCATCATCATCATCTGCTTTCAGGCGCTGCATTTCTTTGACTTCATCGATCCAACGCTGTCCTTTCTTTATCTTCTTATCATCTACAATGGCTTCCGTCTATAATAAAAAAATAAATTAAATCTATATATATATAAATAAATTTCTGTTCGTTAGTCTCGCTAAAACTCGAGAACGGCTGAACGGATTTATCTTATCTTGGTCTTGAATTATTCGTGGAGGTCTAGGGAAGGTTTAAAAGGTGAGAAAAATTCGAATAGATGCAAGAATGGTCCTCCCCACGATGTCAGACTCAGGTACAAAAATCCCTAAAACAATCAAAAATTAAGTCTTTCGAACATAAAATGCAATTTTAGGTTAATGTAGAGGTAATCACAAAAGCCTTTTGGGGAAAATGATAAAGAAATTAATTACTTACAATCTGATACCAGAATGGTCCTTCTACGATGTCAGACTCAGGTGCAAAATCCCTAAAACAAGCAAAATTAGTCCTTCGAACATAAAATGCAATTTTGGGGTCAATTTGTACGATAATCATAAAAGTTATTTAGGAAAATGATAAAGGAATTAATTACTTACAATCTGATACCAGAATGGTCCTTCTACGATGTCAGACTCAGGTGCAAAATCCCTAAAACAAGCAAAAATTAGTCCTTCGAACATATAAAAATGCAATTTTAGGGTCAATTTGTGAGATAATCACAAAAGTTAATTAGGAAAATGATAAAGAAAATTAATTACTACAATCTGATGCCAGAATGGTTTTTCTACGATGTCAGACTCAGATTCAAAATCTTTTAAACCATCAAACATTAGTCCTTGGAACAAAAAAATGCAATTTTGGGAGTCAATTTGTGAAATAATTACAAAAGTTATTTAGGAAGATGATAGAGAAATTTAATGCTTACATTCTGACGCAAGAATGGTCCCTTTACGATGTCAAACTCAGGTGCATAGTCCTTAAAACCATCAAAAATTTGTCCTTGGAGCATATGCAATTTTTGGGGTCAATTTGTGAAATAATCACAAAAGTTATTTAAGAAAATGATCGAGAAATTTAATGCTTACAATTTGATGCAAGAAAGGTTCTTCTGCAATGTCAGACTCAGGTGCAAAATCTCAAAAACCATCAAAAATTAGTTATTCGAACGTACATTTGTTACAAAAAAATTTGACCAAAAAAAATTTGTCAAAATAGTTCTGCCGACATTTTTTTTTAATCCGACGGAAAATTTTTTTACAAAAGAGTTGGACCGAAAAAATTTTAACAAAAAAATTGGACCAAAAAATTTTTTGCAAAAAAATTCACCGATAAAATGTTTACAAAAAAATTCGACAAAATCATTTTAACAGCAAAATTCGACTGAAAAATTTTCACCCCTGTTTTTCCACCAAAAAAAATTTAACAGAAAAAGTTCGATCTTATGTTTCGACCAAAAAAATTTTAAGCAAAAATGTTCGACCCTGTTATTCGGCCAAAAATTAAAATTATTGGTTGCAATGTTTGAAAGCTATTTTAAAACACTTTTAAAGGGTTTATAGGGTAAAAATGTATGTATTGCGTTGAGAATCCCTTGAGATCTAACATGATGTTGAGAAACTTCAAGAAAATTAATTAGTTCAGAAGATACAGGTCGTTTTCTACACAATGTTTTTAAATTTTCAGAAAATTGCCAACTTTGGAAGGTAATTTTATGGCACTTACAACCGGTTTAGAGGGTTGAAATAAAATGCATCGTAAAAAGGTCTCTTGAATTATAATATGGCGCTGAGAAACTTAGAAAAAATATATTAGTGCAGGAGATACAGGGCGTTTTCCACACAATGTTTTCAAATTTTTATAAAATTGCTAACTTTTTAAAAGCATTTGATGGCACTTTTAAAATGGTTTACAGAGTTGATATGGAATACATCGTAAAAATGTCCTTCGGACTATAATATGGCGTCAGGAAACTTGGAGAAAGTGTGTATTAGTTCAGGAGATAAAGGTGTGTTTTCCACATCATGTTTTCAAATTTTCATAATGTGGCCAACTATAAAAAGGCATTTTAGGGCACTTCCAAATTGTCTTGAAGATTGAAATAAAATGCATTGTACAAAGGGTCTCTTTGAAGTATAATATGGCGTCAAGAAACTTGCAGAAAGTTTATTAGTTCCGAAGATACAGGTACGTTTTTCGTACGCGTATCTCTTTGTACGCATTATATTGAAATTTTAAAAGGTAGCAGGATTACCGAAGTTTCTAGCTAGTAACTATATTATGCTATAATGCAAGTAAACGTACATAGAAACAAGAATATTTAGCGATATTGATTTTATTCAATAAAACTGAGCTGATTCCAACAATTCATTGTTGAGGCACTTACGTGATGAAACTCCATAATTATCGTCGAAAAGAATAAACATTAAAGGCTTCACAAAACTTATTACACGCTGCAACATGCTGTGGCCCACTGTGTGTAATATGATCGTCCACCAAAGTTTAACAATCAGCTGATCGGCAATTATGCGAACTGATGATTTCAAGGATTTAGAATATATGTGCAAATACAAAAACCTCAACGTGGTAAGTAAAGTGGAAGTAAAAAAATAGCGTAACTATCACGTGGCTAAACATTGTTAAACACTTGGCACAATAGTCCTGACGATGCTCTCACCGGCAAAACAATTGCAGTTTCTTAAATTAAACCAGTGCAAAGAGACTAAAAACGCTCTCAGTAAAAATACATATTACGATATTAATTCGATTCACCTAACAACTCAAAACCTTGTGAGTTGCAATATACACTTTTAGCGCGATCAAAAACCGACCGGACAATAAACGCGCAAATAGTAAATAGCATTACTCTAGTAGATACAATTAAATAGTCGAAAGATGATTAAATTTATTGCGAATTTGAAAAGTAGTAAAAGTCCGGACAAACATTACGAGTCGCGTAAAACACGCCTGGACCGACCAGAGACCGACACAAAACTGGCTGCAAACTGTGCAAACAACGACGCGAGAGTTTATGATAAGAAAGCAATTGATGCGCAATGCCGGTGCGTCGATAGCACGCGACCTTAGGCACGCATTGCATTTGGTACGTTACCTGCGATCTAAACTTAACTAAGATGCGGCACCATGCGGCGTGAGGGGATGGCAACGACGACACACGGGTATGCGATAAGAAAGTGTAAGTTGTTTTCATCAAAACAAACGAAATTCTCGTGCCGAATGCTCATGTTTGCCAATAAATATATAAATAAACAATACAATTCTATTTTATGATTTTTAGTTCATACTACTCGTAGTGCCATCTCTGAATGAAACGGGTGGAAGTCCCGGAATTTAATTTTTTTTAATTAATGTAAGATTGTGCGATTGTACATTAACTATTAAAGTGTGTTTTGCAATTTGTATTAATCACAAAATGTGTGTTAGAAATACATTTTCTCAAGCTTCCACAGAGAAGCAATATTAAACAAAAATTGAAGAAAATCCCAAAAATTTTCTCCAATGGTAAAAAGTTTTTGTTTCTTTTAACGGGTTGGGTTTAAAAGTGGTCAATTTGGCAAAAACCATTTATAAGTAAATTGTTCGTGGATGAGAACCTTAAATGTCAAAAATGAAGATGATAAAGTATTCAGAAATAAGCTGAAGTGATATAGCAATTAACGTATTGCCTTTTCAATTAATTTAATTTTAAATCAATTTTGATCACAATTAATATCAAGCAAACACCTTTATGCTAAATTAGGTAGGTATTAGAAAATATTCAAATAAGTCCATCGTCAAGTACTTATCAATAAAGTTTCACTTGAATCAATCACACTTTGCGTTTGTGTAACAGTGAATGCTGTAAATTTAAAACATTACATCTTTATCAAAAACTTTTGCATAATAAAAACTTACTTTGACTAGGATTTCTGCAGTTATGATTGCTCAAATCACAATCATTTGAGAATCTACGAGATTCGCCTTGGGCGTTTTGAGCACACACTGGTAAATATATAGCTGGGCAAGCTCCAGCACATTCGGCGTGTGATAAATCCGCGTTCATGATTATAACTATAAAATATTAAAATTAATTAAAAACAATTTATAATTGTAATTTCACAAAGACTATGTTTCAATTTTATATTTTACCTACCGCAAGCAACCAATACAACAGCAATAATCTTCATTGTGATTGAGTATATTTAGGAGTACAAGTAAATTGTTCGCGGATGTTGGGAGCTTTATATATCATAATATTCAAGGTTAATTGCAAAAACAACATAGAAATTTACTCAGGTGATTTACAGCAATTAACTTATTGACTTTTATTAAAGGTGTATGGTATATCAAAATTATAATTTTATAAAAACTTAGAAAAACAAAGTTATTTTCTAAGAAATATGTTAATATTTATTGTTATGGTAAACAACATGAGTATTACCTATTGTTGTCTAATTTGAAGAACAAAAAACTTAAAATGAAAATTAAGAGTTGAGATGAGAACACTTAGTATCTTAGTAAATAGTACATAGTGATGTAACAGGTAATTAGAAACGAAAATATTTGTTCGCTGGCCTCTGGTTTCAATACCTACTATTCCAGTGAATTCAAACTTGCGCATGCGTAGTTGACATGTTCTAATAATGTTAAATTTTAGACGTTTTATTTATAAGCTTATATAATAAGATATTTTCTCTAGAATATTAGCACATATTTATTATTGTAATACAATTCTACGCAGTACAATTTGCGTTTTATGCGTTACGGTGTCAAAAGATTAAACAATTCCAATAATCAATCTAAAAATAGCACCCAAACATGTGCGTAACACTGCACAAACAAATCTTCCCTTATTTCTAATTTAATAAAGATTATTTTGGTAATGTCTTCTAATTGTATTAACTTATCTCACGATAAAACTAATTAAAAGCGAATGGCGTCTGGACCAAGTCGCAATACTATTTAATCAGTCGAATTCATGTGCGAACGCCGTTTTAATAAACTTCTCAATGAATTTATTACTCGCTTTGTTGCATTTCTGAACTTATTCCTCTCTCTCTCACACATACAATCCTTGATCTGATTCCCGATATTGCGTCAATAAACGTTAAAATACACAGGGTGTTCTAGAAACAGTCAAGTGTACCTAGCAATAAAAAAACTCTTCAAAACCATAATATTTTCAATGATATTATGCAAATCATGCGCAATAATAATAATTGTTTATATTAGAATAATTTTCTGAGCAATAACTAGATAAAGGGTATCGGTTTGAGCAACATTCTGTAATTTAGAATTAAAGACTGACAATTGCCATGGCGAATCTGATGATGTGTCCGGTCTAGAGTATTAATATAATCGAGCAGGAGCACACTTCGTGGTTCGCCAAGCAATAACACACATTTCAATTTACATAGCTTGTTTGTGCTGTGAGAATTCAATCGCAAGTAATTGTTTCGCGCCTTTCAACGTCCAAGCGTACTTCAAAAAACACCTGAATTTTATAAAGCAGACTTCTAAGATAAGATTACCTCAATTACTGGTCTTTTAGAAGTGGATTTTTGTCGACTTAACAACAAATTTTAATTTGTAACAAATTTTAATATGGATATAAGAATATCATTAATATTCGTGGGTAAGTTAAGATATACTTTTTTTTAAATGTAAATAAATATGTTTTAACACTAAAAATAGCAATTACTCGTTGTGAATGAGTGATTTGTAAATACGTATGAGTGTTATCGTTATCGCAAATTTCAATGTTACATTGCTTAGATGCTTCTGGAACATGTGTATTTTTAACCAGTGAGAATTTAAAAATAGTTCAATCAATTTTATTGAATGGCGTTGACGATTGTGACGCCATTATCTGGAATTGAATTTATTGCTTTTATAGGGTTATTGGTCACATCTGTACTTGCCGCCCCACCAGCAATCGGCATTCCTGGCGCAATGCCTTGCATGAGCAGACATTGCGATTTCGATTCGGATCCTGTGTGCGCCGTGGACGATTCCGGTGTTGCACTGACATTCTCAAACCGCTGCATGGCGGAATTAGCCAACTGCATCTCGGGAATTTGTATGTTGACTAGTTGAAACTAGAAATTATGATACTCAATTTAATATTGACTTGCAGATTATGCAGTGGTCAAACAAGGAGAATGCTGACATACAACCTGACGGGTCACGCCATCACTTAATCTGAACTTGATAAAAAGTCAAAGGATAAAATGCTTAGTCAACAGTTTTGGTTTTTGCATGTATATAGCACACAACTAATTTATTATTTCGTTTTATATCACTCTTCAGTATTCGCAGTATAGAATATCATAAGTTACCAAATAAATACTTGAAAATTTCGAATCGAATTTTATTACGTTTTACCATTCAACGCGGTGTCAAGTGAGTTGAGTTGTTTTTCACAAACAAATCAACCATTTGCATAACGATAACCGAATATTTCGATAATGCAACTGCCGAAACGTCAATAAGTTGCTGAAATTTTATCAGTGTGAGGAGAAAAAACAATGGTGAATTATTTATTTTCATGTATAATATTTTCTTAAAGAAATTTACAATATTTACAACAATGTGTTAGCAACAATTGCAATCTTATAATGTTCAATGTCGAATTGCTGGTGTTTGAACGTACAGATGAAATAAACAATGCCGATAGAAAGAAGTTGAGTGTTCCGCTTCGTAAAATATATTCCAGGTTGCTCCACTTTTGGTCCGAAGATTTTTCGCAATGTACGCGAACGCAATTTTGAATAATTCATATTGATCGAAATGATATGCGCATTGGTCTATTTTGAATTGTGTCTCTTGTGGTTGTTGTTATCTTCGTTATAACATTTGGTAAAATTGTGTGTGTATGTGCTACAACTTTCATTATCGCATCTTATTATTATTGACTGCGTTTTTTTATTATTACAAAATGTTCATTGCAAATGTCGCGCTCCCAGTAAGTGTCAAGTTAATAATACATTGTTTATTGTTATTGTGCATAATTCTTCAATTATCTACGGTTATACAAAAGATTATTTCGGTTGTGTTTTAATTATCATGACTTGCAGGCTGGCGTTTAACGAGATCAACGTCGAAACAAGAAAAGAAAACGTTTTGTTTTGTACTTAACTTTATCACTGTGCATGCAGTTGTGTTATTTCTTTGAAATGTTACAGCTTGAATGAAATGCAAATATTTTGTTGCTCGATTAAATGCAAGCCTGGATATCACTAGTAAACATCTTATTTATTTATTATTTATTTAATTTGTTTTTACAAAACGTTCTCGTTCAAGTGTTTGTATTCTTAGTGGAGGCTTTCTTAAATACGGAGATTCTTTGAATGAAGACTGTATTTACACATTCAAGAGTAATTAACAAGTAGTTAGAGTTGTTGATTCATTCGTTCTTTCGTTTTGTTTCTGGTTTTCAATCGCCCATTCAACGCAAATCGTGATCCAATATGGTTTAGAATATAATTCAATTCCAGTGAACCAGGATTAGTTTAGTTATCATTTAGTTATCTCATTTGCGGGCGATGTTGAAATGAACTTGTATTATATTGCAGCAAATGAAAACATTCATGTTCGTAATACGTAGGAACTTGGACCCTCGAAACTAAAAATCACACGCAGGTAAGTGAAAATAAATAAAGGAGAACGCAGTGAATCAGATTTAAACAAAATATATATTTTTGTTGCACACAAAAATTGTTGTCGCCGTGAATATTATTTTTGTACCAGATTCTTTTCAATCAATCGTGAGTCAACTGCCGATCGATAGTCAGGGTCGCCGCATCTCGATAACCATTTTTTCTTCAAGAATATTCATTTACACACATAGTTTACTGAACACTCAAACAGTTGTAACATTTTAGAGGAACGCTTGAAGAAAAAACAGTCATATACCTATATGTCACTTGAAGCGAAAAGGAACATTTTTACTTTTGTCTCCTTCGAGTAACATGATATATACTATTACTATCGCCGAACTTAGTATAAATGACATAAAATTTGAATCATATCTTAAATATAATCATATATTATTTATCACAGTCTCAGAGTTTTTTCATCTTCATTATAAATTTTTAAATATACTATCATATAATTGTGGATGCGCACTATTTTATAATACATAATTTATGTTGGTTGTCTCATATTATTATACATACACTAAAATCAATTTGGTACATTAGTTTTTCATCTTTCTCGAGCCTGAAAGTTGTTAAAATCTTGCGTCAGCATATTTAACACCATGATTGCACTACATTGCTGTGTTCTGCGTGTGTAATTGATGCTTAAGTTGTATTTTTAAAGTAAACGTACAATACTTGTAGTCGCCTAGTCAATCTATCAGTTATCATGGGGTTAAATAGTAGTTATCAACAATTACAATAAGTTTGCTTCGTCACAAAGAAAAATGCGCCCATGTGGATGTCATGTGAGGGTGTGGTTTGTGTGGGTGTGCGTACGGTTGCACTTGGTTCACGGAATTGATTGCGGATTGCAGCAAAACTTTACAATAGATAATAATACTTAGAAGCCTATGCACATTGACAGATGCGTAATGACTCTAGAAGTACTAGATTGTTTGGTTCCAACTCCCCTATCTAATTTCAACGTCGCCTCTCCTTGCTATTCGCAAACGCATTCAGCTCCACTTGATCCTCATTAAATAGTTCTATATAAACTGGCCGTATTTTAAAATTCCTTTAAACCGATTTACTTTGCCTCGTATCGTTTGGTACTCGAATTATGTTTAAATTTGCGTTTTACTAATTGATTTAAATTCATTTACGATTGACTTTAACTGGTTAATTACTTATTCAATGTTTCCTTTCGTCGCTGTACCAAACGAGCTGAAGTAATGCATAGTGTAATGTTTAAATTCATGTAGGTATATAATTTGTTTAGATATAATTTACATAATATATACCCATGTTTCAAGGTAGGTATGTACAAATAATACAGTGAAAATAGTTTGATTTAGACCTTTTTCAATAATTAACACATTATACATTAATGTTCTATCACACTTTTGTTCACTCACTCATGAACCGCTCCCATTTTGAGGCCCGGCTGCATTAGTGGCAATTTTTGTCGAGGAACTGCTTACTCAAACAACGCCAGAATGTCATCGTTCGTCGATGAGTTCGAGGGACCCGCACTGCTCCCGCTCGAAGGCGGTGTATTCAGATCTGGTGGATCTAAATACGACAGAAGCTCCATTGGATCCACGCTATCGGGAAGAAGCTAAAATGCGCAGGAAAAAACACCGTGAACATTTTGATCGATGCAAGTCGCGACTTTTGCGAGTTTTGTTTACAAAAATTAAATACTTACGTCGAGAGCTTCTTGGCCTGTACCTTCACCATCGATAACAGCCGCCGGATCAAAATTCAGATCAGACGGAATGTCGGGGAGGTCCGTGCTATGATGGTCGTTGTTGGGCGCGGGTGGGACACTCGGCGGACCCGTTCCTGGCGTGTGGGCCGATCCGGGGGTACCACCAGGGGTATGCGGTGTATGTGGCGTGTGAGGTGTATGAGGTGTGTGCGGCATCTGTATTGACAAAAATAATAACAATAAATAACAATATTACTTCAGTTGTAATCCATGTTTCTAGGACAGGCCATTAAAACTTACCTGATCATTGAGGGATTTCTCCATTGCGTTTAATGGATCCAAGTTATTGACCGACTCGCTGAGATGCGATAAGGGTCCGTTTGCGCCCGAATACTCATTGCTGCCCGGATTCGAATTAAAGTCGTAGTTGCTACTGCCACCGCCACCACCCCGCGAATTATTGTACGACGGACCGTTGTTCATCATCGAACCACTCGCGATGCTGTTCATGTCGGGCGGGATGTAAGGAGACATCGCTTGGGACATGTCCCAGTTGTTCATCGTTGGTAGCGTCATGCTGCCCGGCGACATCGCCTTGTTAAGACGCTGCTTTGCGCCGCAGGAATCGCTCTCTTCGTTTTCCATCTAATTTAACAGAGCAAATCGTCGTTTAGTACACTGTAATACGGTGCAATCGCGGAAGCCTATTTACCTTAATGTTCGCACCGCCGATCGACTTGGCCGCCTTCCAATTAGCGGCGCTATCTATAGTCACTTCGTCCACCTCTGACGTGTTCAGGGTATTCAGAATGCCCCACATGTATTGATCAACCTCTAACCCTTCGAGTTGCGCAGGTTTACTGGAAGAAAAAAGCAAAAAACTAACTTTAGTAAATCATATCAACTTGAATAACTATTTTTGATCAGTTTGATTGGTGATGTACTCACTTGCATACAGGACACCGCCAGGATCCTCGCTCGCAATTCAACTGCAGGTAGGATTCCAGGTCAAAACACTGTATGTGCTTGCACTCATGACCACGGGCTGGTAGAGTGATGCGTTTGAAAGTTATCGGACACTTGAGCGATACTTTCAGAGCTGTTTGCTCGATGGCGTCGCGGTCCCGATCGGTAAGATTAGAATTGTTTCCGGTGTTGCTAAAGTTACGCTTGATCTTCGCTATGCAGTGGTCGGCGGTAAGTAGTCGCTTCCGCAAGAGGCCTTGTAATACTGATCGAACACTTGGTCGGTGCACCAATTGCAACACGAAAAGATGCGACTAATAAAAAGAATAGATGTAACACAGGGGTAAAGTAATATGGTAAAAGGTGTAACTTACGCAACAGCAGGCCGAGACTGTGATCTGAATAGTGTTCCTGCCCGGCTGGCAAACGTCCTTAAGGTAGAGGGGTTTGTGCGAGGTCTTATTCTCACCGCGGTCTATCACAAGCGGCGTCGCGTTCACGGACACCTGCACCGAGGCTGGCCAATTGGTGTTCATCGCTCGATCTTCATGGTGGAAGCACTTCAATTGGAGTTCCAGATCGGATCGCCACATCAGCGTCTGGTGCACCGTCGGCTTCAGTTGGAACACGTGGTTACTAACAGCTAAATTGTGTTCTAGTCTAAACGGAGGTAAAATTATGCCGTCTCTCACTGGGAACGTAAGTCTTAACTCATCATCTTCTGAAAGTAGAGAGAAGTTAGTCACATTCACGAAGTAAAATACAAAAAGTGGTGGAGCATACTTTGTACTGGTATAGGTGGTTTTAGATCGTTGAAATTTGGTTTGACATCGGGGTTTGGACTGATGTATGGGGGCATACTACTTGCCGGCGTCAACGGTGGCGTCGGATTGCCGGGAATGGGGCTGTGTTGATAGTTCATATTATTCATATTGCTCATATTATTCATGGTGCCCATGTTGTTCATGGTATTCATCGAGTTCATGTTGTTCATGCCATTCATCGAATTCATGCTGCCAAGGTTGTTACGCATCGCCACCTCCTGCTGAAATTGGTTACCGCCGCCAGCGTATTGTGGGTTATTGGCACCGGCGTTCATATACTGCGATCCGTTGCCATGAAACTGGCCCATATTACCCCCATTGGCAAAATACTGCCCTTGCTGCGAGTATGGCGGCGTATTCTGCCGAACATTGGCATTACCACGCACTGGCCCAAAGTTGCCGGTGGGGCCAATCGGCTGTTGCGCCGGATACTGGGTTTGGAAATTCGGCTGCCGAGCGCCGTATCCAGGATACTGACCGTTAGGATTAAAGCTAGGATTCATGGTCGGACAAGGTCCATTCGGGTAGGACTGCTGCTGCTGTTGCTGCTGCTGGCCTCGTTTCTGGGCCATATGCATGCCCGGCGTGGGGTAGGGTGTCATCCGGCGTTGGTGGTACATACCTGCGTTAGGCCCTCCACCACCGCCACCTTGCATACCCATCTTGGGTCCCATCTGCCCACCGCCGGGCATCTGCCCGCCGCCCATCATGTTGCCGTGCATATTGCCACCCATGCCCATGTTCGCCATTTGGTTCATATTGTTCATCGGATTCATGCCGTTCATCGGCATCATACGCTGCTGGTAGCCCTGCTGGTATTGCTGATTGCCAAACTGGCTGTTATCCTGCAGTGCCACCACGCTGGCGGTGGCCGTCGCTGTCGCCGTCGCCGCTGCTACCATCGCCGCGGTTGAAAGAGCGTTACCGCCCCCGTAGCCACCTTCGGTGCCGTTCATTCCACCGCCCGCCGCTCCATAATTACCCACTCTATAACACAACACGAAACAAAATTCAGCAAATCAAAAATCAACGGGTGCACATCGAAATAATTAGCTAAACTAAAATTGCATAATACAAAAATTTGATTTGGACGCACGCCAATGAAATTCGGTTAATTTTAGTACATTTTCTAATTATTGCCCTCGGTCGGAAGCTATTTTTACACGTAAATACCTTACCAATACGTTTATAGAAGAGTGCATACCGAGTAACAACACAGATGACAAACTAATAAAACGCCCGGTTGCTAGCCGGAGTGCGAATTTATAATATTTCAACGCGCCAACAATTCAGCCGGTCACACCGCAGCTCAAACGTCAAAATGTTAGGTACATAATATGTCGCTTTATTCAAAAACTTTTTGTTTGCCTTAAACCACAACGACGAGAAGCAAGTTCGCACGGCATTCAGTCATTGAAAGGCGCAACAACGCCTAAAATACGTTAAACAACAATGTGGTACGAAGCTAACGAATAATGCGTGTGAGTTTGGGGCGCCGAGTGTGCGCGCAGTAGGTAAACCAAACGACACGACATCAGGGGCGCAAAATATAATACCGACCGAAAAATGTGTCCACTTTTTCCCGAAAAATCCACACCCGAATAAATGCTGAACATATTGCCACCAGAGTGAGAGAAGTGAAAAGAAGTATTTAATTTTCAAAAAGCAGGCGCGCACGTGTTGCCCGTCTGTTGAGATGGGCAACACAACATTCAAGGGTTGCTGCGTATTTACCACCGCACTCAGGTATAAGCCCGGTGTCTGCTTGTTCGCTCGATATTCTCGGAAGTCTGTCGACGACCCTTAAAATTCCCGTTACGCGCTCGCTTGAAGATAGAATATAATCTCAATGTTCGGACCAAATGCGGTCCAAATGTCGAAAAAGTCGACGAAATTAATAACCCACCACACACTCAACATTCGAAAAAATCGACTGATTCTTTCTATTTTTACAAAACGCCGACATTTCAGACCCAACCCAGAGGATGTGGATGGATTTTTTGTGCGCGTTTTTGTGCGTTTTTACATCTGAACATCTCACGCACGCATTGGCGAGCAAACGCGCGCACTCACACATTCTTCGTATTGATTTCGTGGTGCCGTCTGTTTTTCCCATCCCTTTTATCGATACGTATACGCGCGGCGGAGGCCACCCTATTCACAGCCCTGACTAGGTCACCTTTGTTACCCACCGAAACCACCCCTAATTGGTCGCATATTTGTTGTGAATACCTGAGCGGCATATGCTCGACAATCCAACGAACTTAACGCGCATCAAATACGCATGAATACAAAACAACTTCGAATGTGAATAAATGCACACATAATAATAATATGATAATATGCATCACGATGCAGGCACTCAACACACACGTAACTATTTGCTTTGTTCGGTCGTGAAATAAAAAAACTCGAATTTACGCATTATCGCGTGCGGTCGTATTTAATTTCGTTGTTTTTGTACAAATGCGCGAATACTTCCAACGTTAATGTAACGGACAATTTATTAAATTCAATATGTAACCGTAATAAGTGTTATGCACATGTTTGCAACTAAGTAAGATCACCAGCAATAAAAATTATCCACACGCACAAAAAGTTTAAAGAATTGTGTAAAGTGCGTTGGTTACGCACCAGATGGCGCAGCGTGGTATTAGAATCGAATTAAAGTTTGAATTTAACGTTCATTTCGCTGGTGCGCAACTTGAAAGTTTACGAAAGTTCTTCGGTCGCACCGTACGTGATTTTATTGTATGTTGTAAGCACTCACCCTGGTCCGTTCTGACGATAAGTGTTCTGATAATTTGGAGCGTGTTGTTTATAATTGGAGTTGGTTGGTGGATGCGCCGGGCCGTTAGCGAAGCCTCCGTGCGGTCCCGACTGGCTGGACGACGTGACACCCCACACGGTGGTCACGACAGATAGTTGCTGTTGGGCCGTGGCGCCTGCAGGCGACCAGTCCCTGAAAAAGGACATTCCCACGTTTATTCATCCGCTCATCCGTGCGCACGGCGTCGGTAAAGCCGCCAGTGTGGTGAGACGCGAAAAAGTCCAAAACAAAATGCTCGCACAAGTCGAACGCAAATAATGCATATAAACAGAACCAAAAATCCAACGAAAATAGTTTAAATTCGCATTCGCTTTCTAAATATCCAAAAACGAAGAGGAGAAAGAGAGAGACTCTTACAGTGCACCACCACCACAACGCCGAAACGTTTTTAAATTCACTTTGCAATTTGCGAAACGTCTATTCTGAATTGGCGTTTATTTATTTTTGTTGTAGCGCACTTGGTTTCGAGCAAACTTTCGGAAAAGTTTCGCGCAACAATACACGCAGCACAAATTAATTTATAATCCCAAATGATTTGATGCACGATTTTATATTCTTTTTTTGGTTTTGTTGTCGGCAGAATTGCGCTGCTGTGCGGGCGATGTGTTTAGGTAAATCCAGAATTTTGATGAAACTTTTTAATCTGCAGATATGTACCTATAGGAAGTGTATCCCAGCATTTGAACGAAAACATAAGAAGCGAATATCCGTCACTGGCGCACAACAAACAACATCGATCGTCTCTTGACTGATTCTCGACTGTGTATCAATAATCACACTGGATTAAACAAGGCGCAAAGGAGCGTAGGAGAGCCGCCCGGTGGACCGTCCGAATCCTCGGAGAGCGCGCGTGCTACTGTGAGCGCGTCGTCGTCGGCTCCGACTCCGAGAGAGCGGCATCGACTAACTTGGTAGCGCTGCGCGATTAGCGTGCGTCCGTGCGAGCGCGACGCCAAAGAGTGGGGCGGTCGCACCGACGCGCGGGGAAGTTGACCCGAGTCATTCTCCTCCATTCCTGCGGCCACAATATCGGTTATACTGTTATAGCATGCAGGCGCGCGCGCGGCGTTGCCAGAGCGTGCGCGCCGTGGGTGGACGTGCGCCATCTCACTCCGGTCGTCGACGCGTCCTCGCGCGTGCTCCTACCGACTGCGTTGCGTTTCATTTCTCGCTTACACTCGCACCGCTCCCTGCATCAATCACAACTAATGGAATATTTAAACAACCCCGGTGTATACCATATTTATACTACGGGCTAAGCTTTGCCTTTATCTACTATCAAACGGACTAGCACGCGTTTTAACACGTTCTTTTCATTTTCACATCGTGTCCGACATATTACACACAGTGTTGTATATTATTTTAATTAATTTCTATAAACACGTAATAAAAATATTTCCGTGAGCTCGCCTACGATTGTCATGAGAGAATTCGATTCACCAGTAAAGGCTGATTGTCCCACACAATGGATTTATCGATAAATTTATTATCGTTGCTTTATAAACTTAATTTTAATTTTACGTTTCTGCCATTTTATCGAAGTAGATTTCCGCAACCCAATATACAACACGCGAGATGCGAGTTTCTTTCGGTGCGGCATTGAAGTCTCCATGTTAATGCATGCACGCAGAATCGAATGTCTCCGGCTGACGCCGATGCTATGACCTCAAATTCGAACTAACAGTTTGAGTTTGAGTTCACGCTGACTTTTGACGAGTGACGAGTAGAAAAGGTAGAGAAACACATACAGTGTGTATGAAAACATAATGCGGACACTTTTGCCTTGCTCCTGCGGTGATTTGGCAACTTTCACAGGGATCGATTCGCCGACAAGATCTCAATACGAATGGATGTCCCCGTGGTTCCATGAATGGCAAAGGGGCGTTCGGGATAATACGCTGGGGGATAACAAAGAGAGCCTTCTGCTGCTACTGCCTGGGAGGAGTACGTTGAATCGATAATTCCCTAGAATTTGACGCAACGTACTCGGAGATTAGATTAGGACACCTCGCAATCAAAATATTGATGAACGCAAAATGCAAAATATAAACTGTTTTAATTTTACGAGTAAATCTCTGACTGCCGGAGAGAAAAAAAAAACCAACAACAACGTCGAGCGCATGACGAATGTCGATGTGAGACGACGACAAATAAATCGTATAATATACACGGTATAGTAAGCTATAGCAAAACGCAACGAACAGGACTTTTTAAATGAACAGTTACATTAAATTTACATCCACACAAAACGCGCATAACTGTGCGGCCGAGAATCGAACTTGCGCGCACACCATTCTTCCTCAGTCAAGCGTCAACTGCCAACTTCATCAAGGAGTCTGTAATCGCATCGCATTGCACTAAAATTGTGAGAAACACACTTGACCTTTGTTGTTGTCGGTATAGTACACACAATCTTATCACACCAGCGATAAAGATCGAATGTTTTAATCGCCATGACGTACACCGCCATTACCCCCACCACCACCACCACGTAACTCTTATCAATTCGGGCAAATAATTACACATGCGCGAAATAATTCGAATGCCGGTTTATCTAGCGGCTGAACAATTTCGTGTGCAATCTAGGCTGATAAACAGTTTATTGTTTTACCTTCAACGCCTTCGAAATACCGCGTACCAGTGATAAAGTTTATTGTCGGTGAATTTAATGACTTGCGCCTATTTTTGCGTGCGAGCCGCAAAACGATTGACGCTTGCTGATCAGTTTTCGTAGCATATTGGAATTAATATTCGGCTCGTTGAACTTTCCAGCGTGCGAGAACGTGTGATGATCATCTGTGTGTGTGCACACACACTCATTCTCCACACACGAGTACATGTTCTACATGATCTTTTCTTACTTCTTACGTCTCTTGCGTTTCGCGTGCACGTCGACAAGTTTATATTTACGGGAATAACGCACCAGCGAGCGCACCGTCGAAGAGTCAGGCCGGCGAAACGAATGCCAAGCTCGCGACTCTGAAATAAACCAGTTTATCCGAATATTATTTATTGTTATTTGTGTTTCGTACGCTTGAAAATTTTTTTCATTTTCGATTCCAAAGGCGAACATGACAAATTACCGAAGAATTTTTCCTCACGTCTAGACTCTACACCTTACTACAAACTAAAAATGTGCATATGAATGAAAGCAGCAGTCAGCAGACGAAGAGAAACAAGAGTATATACAATTGTTTGTGCTTGAAAAAAATATTAAAAGAATCATGAATGAGGTTATCGCATTGACACACTTTTTTCGCGGTCATATTCGAAAAAACAACTAACGCTAAGTAAGTTACAAAGTGCCGTGCGGAGTTGCGTACGAGTAGAAATAGTTTCGAACGTGATCATTGTTCGGTTCGGGCCGACAACAAACGAGCTAAAAATACGCCGATAATTATATGATTATTCTTTTCTCCAGAATGCAAGCGGAATTAAACAATCAATCGGCCTTGGCGAATAACTAGCTCGATCTGCTGATAACGTATCATTCCAAACAATGACGAACTTCGTTGGTTTGCTTATCATCGACGCTAAATTAAATTAAATAAAAAAAATTGCGTTTGCGATATATTTATGACTACTAACGCCACCTAGCGGTATAAAAATTTGTTTTTAATGATTTTTGATGTTTTATTGAATTGTATCGCCCTGTATGGAGTTCCTCCGCCGCACAACACATCGAGTTCACCTTGGAATTTTGTACCTTGTTTATGTCAACCGTTTCGCGCACACGCACACACCGTGCGAGTCGATGAATAATTACGCGCCGCATTGTAATAACCGTCGCGCGGATGACACTTTAACTTTAACATCGAAGTGTCCAGCCGATGTCCACATGGCGAAACAATAGCACATCGAAAAAATATTCCATCGTCTCGAGCATTTATAATTTTTTAGCGCGAGTATCGCACGATTGTGTCGCGACCTGGCTGTTATTGGTCAATGTGGAATTTTTTTAACATCTTTACGTGGAAAATCCGCGCCGCGCTGCTAAATACGTTATTGTTTTACGTGACATTCGACGTTTTGTCGAACATCCACTTCCAGTTGCGCTCGCGCTGCTCCAAGGCGTCGACGACGCCTCCGCCGCGGCGAAATTACACGCAATAAAAATATAATCACGATATGGCTACATATATGCACAGCACAGGCCTGGGAGTTCGTATAGCACGTGCGGTCCTTGAAAATATTGTCAATCAAATGTATGATGACGCGCACTTGCATAAACAAATCATTTTTATTTCGACTTTTTACAACGACGGCGATGATATTGTGTACCTGTTTACTGAAATGTGTAGGCTATTTACATAATTACATTACAATGGTCTGGTTATCATTGAAATCTTTCCATAGCGAACCAAACTTGTTTCAAAATTTTTTAATTAAAGCAAAATTCAAGATACTGGTCTATACTGAATGGTAACACAAATTTTCAATGAAAATTTTTAAATTTTTGTGATAAGCACGTTGAAAATTTACTAATTAGTCCGCCATATATGTAGTTAGTAGCTTAAACAAGCACAAATATATAACACACCGCGCACAGCCTTGAAACCTATTTGTTTACTATTTGTAAATATTTTTTAAATTTTAGTACTGCACCGCCAATAACAGCAGCAGGCAACGTTTTTTATTTATTTTGTGTGTGTTGGACTTTCAATCGCTTGAGCTCTTAACTAATGCTATTAGAAATACATGCACGGATTGCATTAGACAACGAAACGGAGTAGAGTATTATTTGAATGACGATACCTACGCCATTTTAGTGCTTATTGCCGGTGCTGTTGTGTCTGTTGCTAAGGCTAATCGGTGTCGATGGAGAGCGCTCGCAGACGGCGATAAAATGTGTTTGCAATGACATCGTACTTACACCTGTGCATGTGTGTATGCAAATGACGTCGGCGGTAATGCACGTCGTCAGCGACAATTCAACACTGCGCAAGCACAACACAATAATAGCTAATTAATTAGTACCCCATTGCAAATTTACGCTGTTTTCATTTAACCCACAAACACAAAATATGGAAAATATTTATGTTTAAGTTCTACTGCAGTGATTTAACACAGTTTTTACTGTTTTATTTGAATAATTATTACGTAATATGCGTAATTATGTCGGCATACAACACACACGTTTGCGGAACGGTGATATCATACGTTTCTTGCTTTTATTTACTGATAACAGAGTTAATAATGTGCCGCATGTCTGAATAATCAAAAGTTCAGGTGCGTCTTGGTGTTTATCAAGCAAATTTGCTTCGAAATCTCAACAATTAACTGTTTTAATCTAAATAAAAAAAAACTAACGTCTTGCTTTGCATATCGTGGTGTAGTACAATACCGAAATGTTGCTTTCGAGATGAATGCGTACTTGATGTACATTCATTCCGGTGAGGTGAGTCAATGGCTTTGCTCTTAACGGCATCGGCCTCTCGCACTCGTTGTAATATAACGGAGTCAAACAATCGTGTCATTTCACCAAGCTCTGCACTGATTCGCCAAAGCACCGCTCTTTGCCTTCGCGCTTTGCTTACCGCAATTGCGGGCTCATCAGGTGCCACAATTCAATTAGCTCATAGATGCGATACGCACAAACATTTCATGATTTCATGATTTCATTAAAACTGACCAAACATCGACTTGG